GTACATGGACGCCGTCACGCGCCGCTCCGCCACCGAGACGCTGCTGGGCTTTGCCGTGGAGAAGGACACAATCCAGCACATCTTCCTGACCCCCCAGGACACCGCCGCCATCAAGGACGCGGCACACCACCTGGAGGCCAAGAGCGGCGACAAGCTGCACCCCGCGTTCCTCAAAATCATGCAGATGCGCAACGCGCGGAGAGGATGAAGGGCCCCGCGCGGGGGCTTGGGTGCGCCGGCGCTGGCACATGCTCGGCGGCGTTGGCGGAGGCGGCGGAAGCGGAGGGTGTGGGTGTGGCGGCCCGGCCGCAGTCGCTGGCCGCAGCCGCGACGCAGGGTTGTGTGCGTCTGGGACGGGGAGGCCGGGCGTGGGGCGGGCCATGGCATGCGAGAGCGTGCCGAGCTGCAATAGTTCACAGTTTGTGCATATCAAACCTGTTTGCGGTCTCGCGGGAACCAAGTATGGGTCTCACTTTGTCAATCCCGCGGGGCTGCTGGGCAGCAAGGCACGCACACTGCAGGATGACTGACAACTTGCTGGTGGCAGCCGCGCGTCCTGTAATCTCACTGTGCCGATTCCTGGCTGCCGTCGGCTGCGCCTGCTGGGACTGATGCGATGGGCACGGCCGCGGGGTCGACACCTTTTGAATGTCCAGGCAGCTGTTTAGACAGGACACAAGCTTGGCGCCACCAGGATGGTGCTCGGCGCCAGGGTAGCAAGGCTGGCAAATCGTAAGCAAGGGTGGGGGTAGAGCGGGGGTGGCAGTGCTGCTGACGCCAAAACTTCAGGTGTGTGGCAAGTGTCGTTGTGGAGTTACAGATGCAATTTTAGCACCAGTCACCCTGAGGCAACACCTGCGCTCAGTTTTGAGCTGTCGTGTGGAAGAACAAGGGGGAAATTGACGGAGCGGCCGTGCTGTGCGAGGGGGGGACCCACGAATGCGCGACCCTCCAGCCGCCGGAGGCCAGTGATTTAGCAAGGGCCCTGGCCATGTGGGCGGCCCTAGGGCGGGGCTCGTGACCAAGGTTTCTCAAATTAAACAGGGATAGCCTTGCCTTCAACGGATGCCAAGCGCAAGCGCTTTCCTGGCAAGAGCTCACGTGATTGTATCAGTAAAGTTGCAGGCAACATGGATGGGGGGGAGGCACTGGTCAAACCCTTAAGGCCAAATGCGTGCACAAATGCTGGTGGCATTCCTGACCAGCAGCCATTTATGTTTGGGTCGATGCGCAACGATGTGTTTGGATGGCTATTTATGACAGCAAGCCTCAGAATGGGCTTTTAAGCGCTCTTGTGCGCATTCAGTCTCTCTCTTTCACTGTCGCCTGGGCGCAGGCCGGCCTGGCCCCTGCTGCCGCGGCGGGTCGATCAGCTGCACGCGGTCACGACGCACCTCACTGCGGCATGTCTGCGCAATCTCATGGAGAGCCGGCATGTCGTGCGTCGTGCACATGGGCCGACAGCAGAAACTGGCAGGCACCACACCCAGCAGGAAGCTTCCAAGCAACGTCTATCACTTCCACGCCCCCACGGATTGAACACTACAAACTGAACACCACTGCACGATCAACCGCAACGGAAGCAGCGTGTCCATCCATCAAGGCGGGTGAGCGTTACGCGCCGACCGCAAACTCCGCAAAGGCGAAGCACGGCTGCACCTCGGGCCACCAAGAGTGCCCGGTCAGGTGGGGCAGGAACCGCCGCGCCAGCCCCCGCGCGCCCAGCCTCTGCCGGCAGCGGAAGCCAAACATCTTTGCCAGCCCCGCGACCGCCGCGGGGCTGTCGTCGACGGCGGACAGGAAGGGCTCCCCCCTGGCGGCCACGCCCAGGGCCATTACCTCTAGGCCGCCGGTGAAGGCGCGGCCCGAGAGCGCGTCCAGGCGTATGAAGTCGAAGGCGAGGCTCGAGCCGGGCGCGGAGAGGGCGCGGATGGAGGCGAGCATGCCGCCGAACGCGGCGGGCGGCAGCTGTGCGGGGTGGAGCCGTGGGAGGCAAGGGCGCGCGTGGATTGTCAGAATCATTGGCAATGGCAACGCGCCGACAGGAGCAGTACTGCAATCACCACACCCTGCAGCTCAAGAGAGAGTGGTGACGCAGCTCAGCCCACACTGCATTACAACTCCTCCTCGGCACGGTGCAAAACGCTGTTAGCGGGATCCAGAACAGGCGCACCGAGGGACGCCATGACTGGCAAAAGACATCCCAGCAGGGACCACCAGTCAAGATAAATGAGACGCCCAGCAGTGATCGCCCCGAGGCAAAATACTCAAGAGCTCAATACTCACGTAGTAGGTCAGCCCCTGCGCCAGCCAGAGCGTCGGCGCCGCCGGGTCGAACCTGCTGCCCGCCAGCGCCTCCCCCAGCGGCACCGCCGCCAGGTCAGCGGCGATGTACGCCGGCCTCAGGTGCGCGCCCCTGTCTGGCAGGCACGCGTCCACGAGCTCCCGCTTGCGCTGCGACGCATGGGGCAGGTCGAGCTCAAAAAACTTGACGCCGGGGCGGGCAAAGCGGTAGGCGGTGGAATCGAACCCGGCGGCCAGCACGACGACCTTTTGTGGGGCAGGGTTGGGCGTGGCGGGAGGTTTGGGTTGGGGTCCCAGGGGCAGGGTGCACGGCTGAGGGAGGATGTTTGAATGCTCACATGCGATGTGGAGTGGTTTGCAATTTGGGAGAGGCGGTCTCTACCTGGCAGGCCCACTGTTCAGATGGCAAAATGAGCGCTGCTGTGCCGTTGGGCAAGGGGACGGCTACCTGCGCAGCTCGCACAACTTCACACGCGCGTGCACACTCTCGCATGCGCGTGCCCACCCACGCACCCAACCACCCGTGCAGGCGTGGGGTGCGCACCGACCCACCGACCCACCCATAAACCCACACACCCACGCACCCACGCACCCACGCACCCACCCACCCACGCACCCATCCACGCACCAACCCACCCCTGCACCTCATACACAGCACACGCCCGCTCGCCCCACCACCACACCTGCAGCCCTCCCCGCCCACGCCCCACCTGCCGAACGCCGGCGTCCAGCGCGACGCGCACGCGCTCGTCAAACCACTGCGTGCGGCCATCAAGGAACGCCACCATGCCCGGCACGCCCACCCCCGGGAGGTCAAACAGTGCGCGGCGGAAGTGGGCGTAGAGGGTGGGGCGGCCCTCGATCTCCTTCGCCTCCTTTGGCATGAGGGCCTTGAGGAACTGCAGAGCGTTTGGCGGTTGTGTGCGGCGGTTGACGTCATTCCTTGTCGTACTTTTTGGGCTTGATGGCTTTAAGGGTGTGCTCGGCGGGGCGCGGCGCAGCTGGCAAGTGAGAGCTTCCAGGGGACTGCACCGAGTACAACGCGGCGGCGCGGGGCCTCCCTCGCTCCTCAGCAGCGTCGCGTGATGGCCGGGAGCTGGGTGACACGCCCGGGCCCCGCGGATGCGCTCGCTCACCAGGGGGGCCACCCAGTCGTCGTTGTGGTTGGGCACGCCGAACGCCTTGTTGGCTGCGCGCATGAGGAGCATCGTGTAGTTGGTGGGCATGTCCTTCTCCAGGGCCAGCCGCAGGATGGGGCTGAGGACGGGCTGCGACCGGGGGAAGTGGGGCGGCAGGGAGGTGGGAAGGGGGAGCGTGAGTCGTGCCGAACATGGGGTTGAGGTACCGATGGCTCAATCACCCCAGCGGCGGCACCGCGGGCCGCAGGGAGCTGTGAGGGCGTGCTGGGGCTAGCAGCAGTTGACTTGTGAGGGCGGGGGCGCGCAGTGGCGGTTCGCCGGCGCGCGCACCGAGGTGACTTGGCGGTAAATGCGGGTGTGGAGGTTGCTCCACTCCCTGTGGCTGCCGTCGTTGCAAATGGCGTCGAACTCAACGGGCAGCGCGCTGCTGTCCGAGAGAGCCGTGGACGGCGAACTGGGTGCGGACGAGCACGGCTCGGAGCAGCTGGCGCGCCGCGCCACTGCCACGGAGAGCACGCGGTTCAACATGGCTGCTTGCACTCAAGTGCCTGTGATGTGGAGTCTGCTTTCCGAAAGTGCGCTCAAGGGGAACGTCGGTCAGCACGAGCAGGAGTCAGTTACGACACAAGAGCAAGGCAGATGATCGGTGACGTGCCAAGACGGCTGACATAGATTATATAGGTCGCTTGGAGTATCCCGGTCAGCGCCACACCGTCGACAAGACGACCGAGTTCAAGAGTGACCACCCGACACGACTGCCGCGCTCGTTATGACAGTGTGACGTGGGTCACTTACGACATTTCCAGATGAGAAATTTACCCTCACTCGAGTACAGTTGACACGCTGCTGTACTGCTGTCCGACGTGGATGCCGAGGCAGTGAGGCTGGCCAGTGTCCGAGGCTGCAAAAAAATGTTCAGCATGCAGGACCTGCACACGCACATGCCTGCCCCCATGCACCACTGCTTTTCAAGCTTCATACATGCCCAATGCAGCATATAACAAATGTTGATGGTAACTGCGTAGGTAACTGCGGTGCGCTGGCCGGCACTCACAGGCGGGCAGGGCGTTTTACACAACAGGAAGCGATTGAGCGATGCTGCACCCCTTGCGGGCCCGCCGCTACCGCCTCTTCTTCGCCGCCTCCCACATGCCGCGCAGCGACGCGACAAACGCCAGCAGCTCCGACTTGCCGTCCCCCGTCGCCGCGCTCGTCACCACGCTCGGCGGCACCAGTGGGAAGCCGCGCGCCTCCAGCAGCGCCCGCTTGAACGCCGCGACGTTCGAGAGCGCGCGGGGGCCGCCCTTCTTCTTCTTGTCTGCCTTTGTGAAGACGATGCTGAAGGGCACGCCCGCGGACGCCAGCCAGGCCGCGTAATCCAGGTCGGCCGGCTGCGGGGGTATGCTGCCGTCGACCAGCAGCAGCACCATGGCCAGGGTGCCGCGCTGCTTGAAGTACGCCTTGGTGAAGGCGTCGAACTCGCGGCGCTGGTCTTTGCTGCGCTTGGCGTACCTAGAGGGTTCCGACGTCGGAGCATGGAGGGGGCGTGTTTGGGGTGTGGGGCGGCGGGGTCCCAATGCTGGGGCCCTCCTAAGGGGGCGGACACGGGGGACCCACGCAACGCCTTCCTGCCTGATGAGTTGCCCCTCCCGCCCGCCTGTACACCACCACAAATGAGCAAGCCCCCC